GATTTGGGATTTTTCCACATGGGATTTGGGTTTGAGTGGGATTTTAAAGATTTGTAGTTTGTGCGGCATGTATACCCGAGTTTGGGACCGGGACCATGGTGTGCATATAGTGTGCATCTATGGAAATTTACTGTGTATTAAAAACTCGATGAGTATTCGAGTATTCGTTCAAATCTTTTACTGATGCTCGAAAATCTAAATTTGTAACCAAACAATGCTGATTCCAATTCTATTTTGTAATGAGAGCTTATTTGTATGCATCTAAACTTATTCCAAATTAACTTATATTGAAGCATTTTATCATATGATGGTTAAATGGGTTTATACTATTAATGTAAATGCAAAGATAAATGTAAGATTGAATTGAAATCTCGAATTCGTAAACTAATTAAAATAAAAGATTAAGATTTATTAAATTAGATTGTAAACATTTATTAAATTGGTTTCTTAAAGAATAAATTGACATGAAGAATGAAATCGAGTTAAAATAAAAATTGAGATACCCTTTTTAACCCTATAATTCTCTTATATTTTCTATGTATTAATAATTCTAACTCTAAATCTCAAAGTATTTAAAAAAAAGAGCTAAGAAAAAAAAATGCACCCAAAGATTTGACCATGACGATGTTCAAATCGCATGAGTTTAAATTGAAATATACGAATATCAATATTCTTTACGTAAAATATTATTACTATTCTACCCGAATAACCACTATCTTAACTAGATATCTGCATTATCCATGGTTAGCAAGATGGACCGTACCTGAGTCCAACATCTAAGCACAAGAACCTTCATATGATTAGAGAGGGCAGTTTGATGCAGCTACAATTGCATGAGATTGTTCAAGGCTTCTCAGCAAGGACTTTTATATGGTTAGTTTATTTTTTATTATGAGAATATTATTACTATATATAGGTAACATATCACTCCAATTCTCTCAATATGCTATAAATTCTTGATGATCCTTCGTTCCTTTTGGAAGTATATATAGTATCTACAGATTAGGGCCGGCTAAGAGCTAGCGATTCCTATTTCTTTATTGTTATAGTATAAAGCCTCTCATCGAGTAATTAAGATGTATTTCTTATCAAATTTTATTTGTTTCTGAGTTTGACACTATTGATCAAAAATGGGACATATGCTTGGGTTTTAGTTATAACCCAAATTAAGTAGAAATCCCAATTCCCAAACCAAAACTACGTAGTAATGTCATAATTCAAAAAAGGTTTGGACCGCAACCCTAATTGATTCCATTGTGATCCTTAATCTGCATTTTTTTCATGTCTATCCTTTCTTTTAGCTTCACCTTTAAAACTTCTTTGAGCTTTTCCTTGACTCTTGATCTCAATTTCTGCAATCTTACCGATGAACTATCACCTGAATTCCATATTTCATTACCCCTTTCGTCAAAGCTTAATCGAGGAGTACCAAGTTGCTCTACAGTAAATGATGCGCTTACCGCTCCATAAAGCGCAGCTTCAAATACGTCAAAATTTGACTTTAGTAAACCAACCATAAAACCACCACAAAATGCGTTTCCAGCTCCGGTTACATCTACAACATGTGGATTTCTATTACCATCTTTTAATGCAGTCCAATATGCTGGTATTATTTCCTTCTTTTCTTTTGTTGCCACCAAACAACCTTTGTAAGATGCTCGAATAACGACACTTCCATTTCCATGAGGGCCAATCTGATGTTTTAAAAATTTATCCGCCATATATATTAACATTTCTTCAGTTAAAAATTTTTCATCTTCTTCTTCATCTTCAGTAATTAAACCCAACAACGCTGCCGCTTCTTCGTGATTTGGTGATACAACATCCACCATTTTCATTGCTTCAATACAAGATTGAATATTCTCCTTTGAAGCACCTTCGGGTATAGGTTCCCAAACAAAAATAGGTGGCGGCAATCGTTTGTCGCGCAATCTTAGGATATCTGTAACATGTTGTGAAGCCCAAATTGATGAACAGATAAAATGAAAAATTTTAGCATTCAAATAAGAACTTGGCAGATCCGACGGAACCGTTCCTATAGGTGGTGTTTGATATGCGAATAAACGTTGATTCACAGTTTTGAATGTGTTTAACCCGCGAATAGATGGTAGATTTGAATGCCATATTTGTGTAAGTGAAATATTGAGCTCTAATAAACTTTGAAGGATGTTTAGAGGAAAATCGTATCCACTGTGAAAAGAATACGCTATACGTTGAGATTCTTGACGTGAAAACCATATTCTCATTCCTGTTGTTAAAAAAAAAAAATTTAATTTGTAAGAAGAGTGTAATAGAATTGTTTAACTTTCGAACTTTAAAAATATACCATAGGTCGCGTACACGCCACCACCACCTAGAACATCTTTTTGAACGGTTCCGTCTAGAACAGAATGACAGTATGATTCAGAAACAGTTTTTCTAATTTTTTTTTTCTTTTCTTTTTTTTTAGCAAGCAGCAACTTCGATCACCTGAAAATTTGATATCGTCAATGATACATTGACTTAATGAACATAATAGTGGATCACTCATTACGAAACCAGAAAAGAGAAAGAAACTAGTGTTTATATGTTTGTGATAATTTAGTTAACAACAGTATTTTACAAAATTTAGGAACGAATTTGGTGGCATTCTCTATTAAATTTAAAAAATTTAAATCTCGCAACTTGCCACGTTCATTATACGTTTACACATACACATATATAAACTATGCATATCGATATGCTATATATATACTATATATATGTATATATATAGCATTATATATATAGCATTTTATATACTAAATATATATATACTATATATACTGTATATATATGTAAATATACAGTGAATTTTGTTTGGTTACGAAAATTCTTAATGACAGATAATAAATAAAAATATTGTACGTACTAAAAGTAGTGAATTTAACAGTTTTTAACAAGTATGATTAATTATAATTTTATTAAAAAATAGAAAAATTCAAACTTCGTACGTATTATTATTATTTTAACTTAAATACAGTATATATGTTGTGCCTCAGATCCTTTCCCGCGTCAGATCGAAGATGACGCACCTCAGATGCCGATCGTCAG